TTGCTTTTTCTGTTATTGGTTTCTACTTTTATGGCTTTATGGTCAGAAAAGATGCTTTGTAATATTTTGATGCTTTGGATTCTGTTAAGGCTTGCTTTATGGCCTAGTATGTGGTCTATTCTGGAGAATGTTCCATGTGCATTGGAAAAGAAAGTGTACTTGGCTGCTGTCGGGTGCAATGTTCGGTATATGTCTGTGAGATCAAGTTGGTTGACAGTAGCATTTAGCTCTTCCGTGTCTTTGTTGAGCTTCTTTCTGGATGTTCTGTCCTTCACCGAAAGTGGAGTGTTGGAGTCTCCTAATATTATTGTGGAGCTGTCTATCTCTCTTTTCAGTGCCGTTAGAGTTTATGTATTTTGGAGCCCTGTCTTTGGGCGCGTAAGTATTGATTATAGTTACGTCTTCTAGTGTATTGACTCTTTAATCATTATATAGTGTTCTTCCTTATCCTTTGTGGTGGATTTTAACCCTAGGGTTTTCAAGGCTGTGATTTTTTTGGGAAGGGACCCTGGTGGTGCAGTGGTTAAGCCCTTAGCTGCTAACTGAAAGGTCAGCAGTTCCAACCTACCAGCTGCTCTGCGGGAGAAAGATGTGGCAGTCAGCTTCCCTAATGATTACAACCTTGGAAATCCTGTGGAGCAGTTCTGCTGTGTCCTGCAGGGTCACATATGCATCAGAATTTATTCGACAGCAGCGTGTTTGGTTTTTTTTTTTGTTTTGACCTTTTGGAAGCAGATCGTCACGTCTGTCTTCCAAGGCACCTTTGAGTGGGTTTGAACCACCAGTCTTTTTGGCTAGTAGTCAAACACCATTTGCGCCACCCAGGGAACCACATTAAAATTAAGAATTTCAATTTATCAAAAGACTCTGTGTTGTTGTTCTGAGCCATCAAGTCAATTCAGACTGATTGCAACCCTACGGGACAGAGCAGAACTGCCCCATAGGGTTTCCAATGCGGTTAGCTTTATGAGAGCAGATCACCAGATCTTTTCTCCTGCAAAGTGAAACTAGAGGGTTCAAAATGCCAGCCTTTCTGTTAGTAGCTGAGTGCTTAACCATAGCGCCACCAAGGCTCCTTAAAAGACTCTATAAAGAACGCAAAAGACAAGCCACAGCTGGGAGGAAATATTGCAGTACATGTAACAGGAGCTATAATACCAAGACACAGAGAAATTTCTGTAGAAAAGCAGTAAGAAAAAGACACTCGAAAAACATTTGTTTCACAAAAGAAAAAACCTGAATGGCCCAGCAAATACAAAAACAGACACAACCTCATGAAATCAGAGAAATTGGAACCACAGTATGACACTATTAAATCTGACAGATACTAAGTGTTATTGTAGGTATGAAGCAATTACTAGTGAGATTACAAATCATTACAGGTACAGCTACTATAGGAAACATTGTGGGATTAACTAGAAAAGCTTTATATGTGCACACTTTATTATTCTGTAATTTTTAAGTATGTATTCTAGAGAAATACTTGCATGTTTGTACTAGTACACATGAGTAAGAATGCCCATGGCACCACTGTTCCTAAAAGGAAAAACCTAAAGACAGCTCCAATGGCCACCAACAATGGAACAGAAAAAAAATTTTTTGGCACATTCATGTAATGAAATAACACTGTAAAAATGAGTGAACTACGGTTATACACAACGTAAACGAATCTCAGAAATATATCATTGAATGGAAGAAACAAAACTTAAAGTAGTGTTTGTGTATATGTAATTTTAAAATAGGAAAACTGTTTAGGTTTTTTATATTACATTCACAGGTGGTAAAACTATCACAAAAAGCCAGATGATTATCTCAAAAATCAAGATAGTGATTACTTCTCGGAGTGAGGATGGGAAAAGAGAGGGGACGCAGTTAAAAACCTGTTGCTGTCGAGTCAGTTCCGACTCATAACGAACTTACAGGACAGAATAGAACTGCCCAGTAGGGTTTCCAAGGAGCGACTGGTGAATTTGAATTGCCGACCTTTTGGTTAGCAGCTGAAGCTCTTAATCACTGTGTCACCAGGGCTCCTAGGAGGGGTATATGTGGGGTTTCAAAGGCACTCTTTTTTAACCTGGGTGGTGGTGGATATACTCTACTGTTTTAAAATGTAGAGATATGTATTATACATTCTTCAGTATAAATTATATAATTCACAATAAAGTAGATGAGGAATCAAAGAGAGTTAAAGGACAGTGAATTAGTGAATATGGAGCATAAGAATTTTCTCTAAGTGAACCAGAGAAATGGAATGGTATTTGGAAGACCTTGTGGGAAGATTTTCCCAGGTTCTAGGGTAGAGATTTCCAGTCCTGATTTGTCTCTGAGCTATAATTTTGTATTTCTAGTAGTCATAATTATCATCCATTTTTTGATCCCTATTAACAGCTGAGACTTAGGATAAAGTATCTTACTGTTTTGCCACTAGTGCCATCATCCAGGTTTGAAACTTTCCTGTTATGTCTATATCTTGTCACCAAATGAGTGATTTTTTTCCTTTGAGAAATCTCACATATATCTGTCCTTCTTTATTTTATTGTTTAATTCCTTTATTAACAGATGCTTGCTATTTGACTTTTGAAAAAAGTGGTAAATTTTTATTACAATAAAAAATGAGGTATTTGAGTATCTCGACTGAAACAGATATGAAATATGTAATAATAATAATAAAAACTTCAAAGGTATATTGGGAAAAGTGAAGCTTAGGAAAAAGGATTTATTAGAGACATCTCTTGGTAAAAATAATAAAAACCCATGCTGCGAATAGTACTGCAGATATTTCTAGTTATCTGATCAGCTGGCAAAAAGCAAGCACTTAAGATTTTGTTTAGTTTTAATCTTTTTTTTCATTTCTTGTTTGTGGAATTTCATATTCATTTCTTCTTGTTGAACTAGTCAACTGGGTTATGGCAGAGAGGCCAATGTTTTCTCATTCTTGCCCTGCCCAACCTCTGGAGCTGATCACCTGCTTTTGACTCTTAACTTGTGGTTTAAGGCTTTCTGAGTGTCTGTCTGCATTAGTAATTGAAGTTGCAGAGGTGCCAGTGTTGAGATGACTGCTGATGCTGGGTGTTAACTCCTTGATTTTCTTAATCCCTTTCATTGCCATTCTCCCTAGGCTGTCTTTGTTGATTAAAGTACCTGTGAAATTGTGACTGTCGCCCTCATTTTGTCCCACTTGTCTACCTTTTCTCTCACAGCCTGGTTGTCAGTACACTCTGCCCCTCCTACCTGCTCAGGAAGGTTGAATACTGTGGTAGATGCTGAACAGTAGGAATGTTGTGTCTTGCCTTTTGGAGGATCACATGTTTTTCCAGTTCTCATTATTGTGGTAATTCTGTGGGCAATTACTTGGAGAACCCTCTCTATACGTACTTTCTTCAGCAGCCTCAACCACAGCCTCCTTTGAGAAATCTCACGTGTATCTATCCCTGTTTTTATTATTTAATGGCTTTATTAATTCTGAATTTGCGGCTAGCACGTCGGAAGTAAGGGTGTCAGGTAGATTCCCAAGTTAGCAGCCGACATCTGCCTATTTGGCAGTCTGAAGGACAGTGTCCTTTCATCTTGTGAGCTCTGACCTAGCTCCCAGCGGCCAGAGACAGAAGAAGGAGGGAGTGCAACATGGGTGGCTACTTGGAGTTATTCATTTATGGCATTTCCTGCTTGGGGTTATCCTTTTTGGTGGTCTGGTGTTCAAATACATCTTCTTTGGGGTCACTTCCTGTTGATGAAATCATATCAATATCTTATATTGAAACATTTCACTTTTCTGAAAACCTTTGTTTGCAGTAAACTTAACTGTCCCTGCTAGTGGGTATTAATTACTGTTGTGAGACTGCCAGAAGAACTGAGGGTGAAGGTGACTGCTGAGTCTCAGCTTCACAGCATCTTGCGGAGATGGTGATGTGAGGCTTGATGGAACTAGTGGTAGCTCCTGCCAGAATGTGATGGTAACAAGGCCTGCACCACAGTGAGTGCACTGAGCTGACAGCCTCCAACTGTTAGTACCTTTAGGATCCTTAGCATTTGAGCTGAGGCCTTGTGCTTCCTGGGAAGCCATCACTCAGTGACTGAGCATGGCAGGGGTACGAGGGCCTGTGTGTTCTGACTCAGTGCAGGATTCCTAATGGGCAGTCTTTGCTCTGGAACTCTGCTGGGTTGGCTGAGACTGTCAGATCTATATCAGGGTCTGAGTCTTTCGCTGCTCCATCCTGTTTCCTATCCCTTTTCTTTCACAGGCTTCAGATCTGCCTCATGGTCTGAAAGTTTTCCATGCCTAGTCCTGTTTCCTCCCCCTTTTATCATTCACAGGCATTACCCCATAATAAACCTCTATCTCCATGCCCCTAAAGATATTTAAGTAGGGGCTTCAATTATGACTATTTCTCATATATGCTGAAAATAAACTTTTTGTCTCATCTAATTTCTTGAATTCATGGTTTTGGCAAATAGCAAATTGATGTATGGACAAAAGTCATTCCCTAATCCTGAGTCTGTGGAAATCCCTCGTAAGAAAGGGAGTATCATATTTTTTTAAAAACTTAAGGTTATAAAATTGTATATGACAGTGTTTAGGAATGCCATATTTGTGACACTTTTTAAATGTTTTAAATTTTATGCTCACTTAGGCCGAATACATCAAGCAATGGTAACATCTTTAAATGAAGATAATGAAAGTGTAACTGTCGAGTGGATAGAAAATGGAGATACGAAAGGCAAAGAGGTATGATCACTGGGTTGATTTTATTTGTAGTCCTGCAGTCAAGATTCTGAATATGAAACAAAACAGAAAAGTATATTATTTTTATATAGTGCATGCATTCTTTGATTCTCTGAAAACTATTTGAAATGATTAATAATTTTCACTCAAAGAAAGAGTCCTCCTATATATCTTATGTGATTGGACATGTCAGTCCTGTTCATTGTTGTATTATGAAAATATTGATATATGAAAATATACTATTGTCTGGATGGTTTCACTGGAGAATTCTACCAAACTTTCAGAGAAGAATTAACACCACTACTACTAAAGGTATTTCAGAGTATAGAAAAGGATGGAATACTCCCAAATTCATTGTATGAAGCCAGTATAACCCTGATACCAAAACCAGGTAAAGACACCACAAAAAAAGAAAATTACAGACCAATATCCCTCATGAACATTAACACAAAAATTCTCAACAAAATTCTAGCCAATAGAATTCAACAAAATATCAAAAATATATTCCACCATGATCAAGTGGTATTTATACCAGGTATGCAGGGATGGTTCAACATTAGAAAAACAATCAGTGTAATCCAACACATTAATAAAACAAAAGACAAGTACCACATGATCTTATCAATTGATGCAGAAAGGGCATTTGACAAAGTCCAACACCCATTCATGACAAAGACTCAACAAAATAGGAATAGAAGGGAAATTCCTCAGCATAATTAAGGACATTTATAACAAGCCAACAGCCAACATCATCCTAAATGGAGAGAGTTTGAAAGCATTCCCCTGGAGAACAGAAACTAGACAAGGATGCCCTTCATCACCACTCTTATTCAACATTGTGCTGGAGGTCCTTGCCAGAGCAGTTAGACTGAAAATATACTATTCTTTTATCCCAGTTCATAAAATTTAAAAGTTGCTATGATAGTTGTGTGGTTCTGTTGATCACTTTGTTGTTAGCAATTCACACAATCAAGATGCACACAAAAATGGTATTTTAGGATAAATTATTTAAGTGTATGTAGATTATAATTTTAGATAATCCAGTTTGCAAGGCAGTACCATCATTGTTCTTAGGTGCTGTTGACTCGGCTCTCCTCATAGCAACCCTGCGTACAACAGAACAAAACACTGCCTGGTCCTGTGCTATCCTCACGATCGTTGTTATGCTTCAGCCCGTTGTCGCAGCCACTGTGTCAATCCATCTCCTTGAGGGTCTTCCCCTTTTTTGCTGACCCTCTACCAAGCATGATGTCCTTCTCCAGGGACTGATCCCTCCTGATAACATGTCCAAAGTATGTGGGACATAGTCTCACCATCCTTGCTTCTAAGGAGCATTCTGGTTGTACTTCTTCCAAGACAGATTTGTTCATTCTTCTGGCAGTCCATGGTATATTCAATATTCTTGGCCAACACCATAATTCAAAGGCATCAATTCTTCGTTGGTTTTCCTTATTCATTGTCCAGCTTTCTCGCGTGCTTATGAGGTGATTGAAAACACCATGGCTTAGGTTAGGTGCATTTTAGTCTTCAAGGTGACATCGTCACTTTTCAACACTTTAAAGAGGTCTTTTGCAGCAGATTTGCCCAGTGCAGTGCATCTTTTGATCTCTTGATTGCTGCTTCCATGGGTGTTGATTGTGGATCCAAGTAATATGAAATCCTTGACAACTTCAGTCTTTTCTCCATTTATCATGATGTTCCTTATTGGTCGAGTTGTACGGCTGACATTTATTTGAAAAGTAAGCAGTTAATTGTCAAAATAAACTGTAAAAATATGTATGTGTGTGTGTTTTAAACAGATTGACCTGGAGAGCATCTTTTCACTTAACCCTGACCTTGTACCTGATGAAGAAATTGAACCCAGTCCAGAAACACCTCCACCTCCAACGTCCTCAGCCAAAGTAAACAAAATTGTAAAGGTTAGTGATGAAAATCCAGAGCAGAGTGTATGTGCATGTTGTCTGGTTTGAAATCATTAGGCTGTGAGCCATATCAACAAAATATTTTGCTTTGTAAACCATGCATATGAACATAAGGCAAATTTTCAGTTCATATTAAGCATGTTGAGAATCACTGCTCAGAGGTCATTAGTTATTGTTTTTGGGTGCTATTGAGTCGATTCCAACTCATAGTGACCCCATGTAACAGAGTAGAACTGCCCCATAGGGTTTTCTTGGCTATAATCTTTATAGAAGCAGATCACCAGGTCTGTCTTCCACAGGGCCACTGAGTGGGGTCGAACTGCCAACCTTTTGGTTAGCTGTCAAGTGCTTAACGGTGGCACCACGAGAGCTCCTTAGAGGTCATTGTTATTGTGTTATATGCCACTGAGTCAATTCCTACTGAAAGCCACCCTATAGGACAGAATAGAACTGCCCCATAGGGTTTCCTAGGCTGTAATCTTTATGGAAGACTGCCATATCTTTCTTCCGTGGAGCAGCTGGGGGGTTTGAAACCCTATCCTTTCGGTTAGCAGCCAAGTGTTTAACCACTGCATCACCAGGACTCCTTTAGAGGTCATTAGTTACCACTTATAAATGAATTTTTCATGTTGAACTTCAGAAGCCTTGGAGGATCGTCGTAGTTTTATCCTGCTTAGTATGTAATTAATAATCTTTGCTGTGCATTAGAATCACCTGGGGAATTTTTTTAAAATACTGATTCTGAGGCCCCACTCCCATAGATTCAGCTTTATTTTCTCTAAAGGGAGGCCCTAGCATCAATACTTTTATAATAGTACCTATCTGATTTGAATGTACCGTCAAGAGTTGAGAATTACTACATGAGTTGCTATCTTTTTTTGAGGTGAAGAAGTAAACTCTGGGTAAATAAATAATTGGACTTAATAATAGGAGAATTTACTGCCCGTATCTTTGTAGTGTCCAAGTCTTTGAAAAACCAGTGAAATCTTTGTAGGGTAATGTGACAATGAGTGGAGTGTTTCACAGTATATTGATATTTCAGTTTAGCCATGAACTCTAAGCTGTCTAAAACTAATATTTTATTAACTACCCCCTGCCATTCAAAAATGAAATTTATTATGTACTTTTGTCAGGATAGCATGGTGATTAAAAACACACAGTATATAGTGAGAATGCCTGACCTTGTGGAAGTTACTTAACCTCTCTTTGCTTCACTTTTCTCATCTATAGAACAGGAATAATAGTAATAATATCCTTATAGGGTTGTGAAAATTAAATGAATTCATACACATAAAGCACTTAGTGCAGTGCCTAGCTCATGTTGATTCCTATGTATTTTTGGAGGGGAAGGGGGATGGAGAGGAAAAAATATCTCTTATGTAAAGGAGCTAGAATAATGATAGCATTAGTAGTAATCCATTAGAAGATTATTTATAATTTTTCTGCATTTAGTTTTATATTATCATATGTCTGCCTAATTCTGCTTAGTTAAAGGAAGCTGATACATAATGTATGTATATAGAAAGGAAACATAATGAACATTTTTTTCTTCTATAGAATCGGCGGACTGTGGCTTCTATTAAGAGTGACCCTCCTCTAAGAGATAATAGAGGTAAAGTACAATTCTATTAATTTTATCTGTTGACTCTTAGTATGGCTGTGACAAGTTAAATCAAAAGTAAATGTTACCCTTAATGTTGTTACTCTTTTAAACTTTACTTGGCTAATTGAAGATTGGTACCTCTTTGATTTCCTAATACAGTAATGTCAGTAATAAAAGAAAAAAAGATTAAAAATGTGTGTGATGAATATGAAACTCCATAAAATATACAGTTTTTGATCCATCTATTTCATTTACCCAATAATTTTGCAGATTTGAGGAGAGTATTATGAGAAAGAAGGGAGCAGGAAAGGAGTCAGTTGATTTCATATTTCTTTGTATTTATTTAACCTTTATATTCATTTTTCCACTTTGAAAACATCCATATTGGGAAATTCTCTGCAAAAGATTACAGAGTGGGATTTAGAATATAGGGAGAGCTGAACGACTTTCAAGTTTTTAGTTTCTGCACTTCTGGATTGTATGAGATTTTCACAATGAGAATGCATTTACATTCGTATTTTATACACACAAATATATTTTAATAATGTTTATTAAAAGTCAAGCTTGGCTAGCCATAGCAATTAGGCTAGGGAAAAAAAGAGTATCCAAATTGGGAACAAGAAAGTAAAACTATCCCTTTTCGCAGATGACATGATCTTATACATTAAAAAAAAACCAGCGATCCACAAAAGAGCTATTGGAACTAATAAGTGAATTCAGGAAGGTGGCAGGATACAAAGTCAACACACAAAAATCAGTTGGGTTTCTATATATAAGCAAAGAACAAAGGGAAAAGGAAATTAAGAAAACTTTACCATTTACAATTGCATCTGAAAGAATAAACTACCTTGGAATAGATTTAACCAGGAAATTGTACACAGAAAACTATAACACATTATTAAAAGAAATTAAAGAAGACCTAAATAAATTGAAGGGCATTCTGTCTTCATGGATTGGAAGGCTTAATATAGTTAAGATATCAGTAACTACCGAAAGCAATCTATTAGTTCAGTGCAATCCCCATCAAAATTCCAGCCACCTTTACAGAAATAAAAAAGCCAATCCTCAAGTTTATATGGGAGGGCAGGGGACCCCAGAGTAGCTAAAGCAATCTTGAAGAAGAAGAATAAAGTAGGAGGGCTAACACTTCCTGATTTCAAAGCATACTGTTAAGCCACCATAATTTAAACAGCCTGGTACTGGTATAATAACAGATATATAGACCAAATGAATAGTATTCAGAGTTCAGAAATAAATCCATACATCTATGGTCACCTGATTTTCAACAAGGGTATTATGTCCATTCAATGGGGAAGAAAGAGTTTCTTCAATAAATGGTACTGGGAAAATGCAGTCTCCCCATGCTGAAGATTGAATCAGGATCCATGCTTCACACCATACACAAAAACCAACTCAGAATGGATCAGGAACTAAATGTGAAAAATAAAACAATGAAATACTTAGAAGAAAATTTAGGAGTGTGCCTGCTGGACCTAGTTTTTAATGATGGATTATCAAATATAACAACAAAAGCACAAGCAACAAAAGACAAAATGAATCAATGGGACCTCATAAAATTAAATACTTTGTTCATCAAAGGACTTTATCACAAAAGTGAAAAGAGAACCTACAGATTAGGAGGAACATTTTCAGGAACCATGTATGAGATAAGGGTCTAATATCCAAAATATGTTTAAAAGAGCTTCTACAACTTAACAGAAAGACAGACAACCCAGTCAAAAAATGGGCAAAGGACTTGAACAGACAGTTCACCAGAGAGGATATTCACATGTTCAGCAAGCACATCAGTGTGTCATTAGCCATCCAGCCTGTTGCCATCGAGTCAGTTCTGACTCATAGTGGCCCTATAGGACAGAGTAGAACTGCCCCACAGGGTTTCCAAGGAGTGGCTTGTGGATTTGAACTGCCGATCTTTTGGTTAGCAGCCGAGCTCTTAACCACTGCGCCACCAGGGCTCCCAGTAACCATTAGGGAGATCCAAATCAAAACTATAATGAGATACCACCTAACCCTAATTAGAATGACAGTGATCAAAAAAAAAGGAAAACAACAGGTGTGGGCAAAGTTGTAGAGAAACTGGAACCCGCATTCATTTCTGATGGGAATGTAAAATGGTATAGCCATTGTGGAAAGCAGTTTGGTGGTTCCTTAAAATGTTGAATGCAGAGACCCTGGAGGAGGTGTTCATTGAAGTTCAAGTGCCGCCAGGCACTGGCAGCCAGGATATCCATTGCGGCCTGCAGAGCCGGCATGTGGTGCTGGCCGTGGGTGGCCACGAGATCCTCGGGCAAACTCCTTGATTCTACAATAGCTGATGAGGGAACATGGACGTTGGAGGACAGAAAAATGGTCCGTATTGTTCTTACAAAGACAAAAAGAGATGTAGCAAATTGCTGGACCTCTCTTATAGAATCTGAATATGCAGCTGATCCTTGGGTGCAAGACCAAATGCAGAGAAAACTTACATTGGAGAGATTCCACAAAGAAAATCCTGGTTTTGACTTCAGTGGAGCAGAAATCTCAGGAAACTACACTAAAGGTGGACCAGATTTCTCAAATCTCGAGAAATGACTGCTATTTTTTTTCTTCTCTATTCCATGGATCCTTGCAGATGCTGCCAACCTAATCAAAGAAACAGATTATGTGGTAGAAGACAAATGTGGATGCCTATAGTTAATGAACTGCAAAATACATCTAAAAATGGTTTTAAATAGTGCATTCAAATACAGTTTTTAAAAGAAGCATCTTAAATATGTGGGAACTATTCTGTGGATATATGGTAACCTTTTTGGACTTATTTTTGCTTAGCATGGGGTTTTATATGCTTCATTTTACTAATTTCATACTTAACCTGTATTTTTAATACAAAAAAGCATGCGGGTATAGATCATGTAAAATGGCAGGGTGCTGTCAGAGAAAAAGTTTTTCTTTCAATAAGTGCGATGCAGGAATAACATTCAATAAACTTTTCTGTATAGGAATTATGTACCGCTTTGACTAAGTTTGTCAGTTCACAAAAAGATTATTTTACTGCAAAAAAAAAAATAAGGAAAAAAAAAATCACAAATATATTTTGAGTAAGTTAATTTTAAAAGCTAAAGAAAATGTCTTAATTAGTATATTATTCCTTAACAGATTACTTTATATCAGAAAATTGAAAAGCAGTTAAAAACCTAAAAGTAGGAGTAGATTAATACAAAAGAGAAGCAGCTAAGTGAATATGGTTGTTGGACAAGTCCTTTGTGAGTGGCAGAAAGCAAATTATGGTCATTGATTTGTAAGTCAGTTACATCATTTTGATCCCCAATTATCCAGACATCTAGGTAGGAGATATCTATTGAAATGTTATTTCATCTTTTTTTGTTCTTTTTAAAAATTAAACATTCTGAAATTAAAAAAAATAATAATAATGTTGAATATAGATAATTACCATATGACCCAGCAATCCCAATCCTAAATGTATACACCGAGAAGTCAAGGCAGGAGTACAAACAGAAATCTATATACCAGTGTTCATTGCAGCACTTTTCACAGTAGCCAAAAGATAGAAATAACTGAAATGTTCATCAGCAGATAAATGGACAAACAAAATGTGGTGTATATACACACAATGGAATAATTACTCAGCCACAGAGAGGAATGAAGCCCTGGTACATGCCACTATGTGGGTGAACCTTGAAAACATGCTGAGTGAAATAAGTCAGTTGCAAAAGGACGAATAATGTATGATCTTACTTATATGAAATAAGCAGATATGTAGAAACCAAAGAGTATTTAGTGGTTACCAGGGGTGGGAGGTAGAAGGAAAGGGTGAGTTTTTCCTTAGTGAGCATTGAGTTTATGTTAATGGTGGTGGAATGATTTGGAAAAGGATAGCAAGAATGGATGCAGAACTTGAAGAATGTAATCATTGTCACTGAATTGTACATGTAGAAATTACTGAGATGGTATATGTTTTGTTACATATATTTTCACCACAGTAAAATTTTAAAAATCAAGCTTGGCTTTATTTTTTATGTAAATTTTTCAGATCGAGTTTTTGTAGCTGAAATTACATTGGTGAAACCTAAGTACGTGCGTGTTACGTTGAAAACCTCTTAGCTTATGTCAGTTTATTGAACAGAATTGATGATTATATATTCTGCTTAAAAAAACAAACCAAACCCGTTGCTATCGAGTCGATTACAACTCATAGCAACCTCATAGGACAGAACAGAACTGCCCCGTAGGGTTTCTGGGGAGCGCCTGGTGGATTTGAACTGCCAACGTTTTGGTTAGCAGCCATAGCACTTAACCATTATGCTGTCAGGGTTTCGGATATAGTCTCCTTACACCTGTATACACAGAAAAGTTAACAGTTCACTAGTATGACTTCTAAGTATCAGTGTTTTTTGAGATATCTCAGGTTTTTTTTACCATGGTTCACCTTTACTAATTATCTGTTCTGACTTAAAATTTTTTCACTTATAGTGGTTGGTTCTGCACGTGCTCGGCCTAGTCAACTTCCTGAGCAGTCTTCGTCTGCGCAACAGAATGGTAGTGTTTCAGATATCTCTCCAGTTCAAGCTGCAAAAAAGGAATTTGGACCCCCTTGTATGTAAATCAAGGATTCAGTCATTCTAGGCATACATGTATTCTCTCTTGGTCCATCCTTATGAGTTACCAAATGGTAAACAGTCTAATTACGAACTCAATTGCAGATTTCACTTTATCACTGTGGAAATTTTATTTTTTTTCTTTTTCTGTTTAGTCTGTTGAGTTTTTAATTGTATTTGTTGAAGAAAAATTTTTGTTTAAATGTAAAATTGCAACAATATTTCAGTTGCTTTGAATTTAAAAATTAGTCCAGATGATAATTTATCAAATGTAACAGAAGAAATTGATGTATTTCTTGATCCCTTCCAATTCTTATGATTCTAAACCAAGAGATGACATGTATCAATCAATACGTTTGAGTCATTTTTATTGGCTCTTTATTTGTATATTGTCCTGTTCCTAGTTTTGTTAAAGCAGCTCATAAGTAAAGCTCACATAGTTGCTATAGGCATGCTTTCTCACTGTGTACTTTTGTGTGTGAGTGTGTGTATGGTGAAATTATACATAAAATTTTTGTAAGTACGGTAGCCTAAAAAAAAAAAAACTACTTCCACAGCTCATCTGTTTTTCTTTCAGCACGTAGAAAGTCTAATTGTGTGAAAGAAGTAGAGAAATTACAAGAAAAACGAGAGAAAAGGAGATTGCAACAGCAAGAACTTAGAGAAAAAAGAGCCCAGGTTTGTAACATAAAACATATATTTTGTTTATGCACCAAGTGAAGATTAGACTGTGTTGGTGAAATTGATTGACCTGTGAAGAAAAAGATAAGGCATTCATTTAAAAATTTTAATAATAGTTCCTTAAATAGATATTGGAGAATAATATAAACTCTTGTGAAAGTAAATTACCATAACAGCTTTTTATTGTATGTGTTTTTCATGTTTTAGTGTGTATGTGTATGTGTTAGCCCCAAAGTTTGTTCCATTTTCAGTGATAAACCATTGTATTACAGAATCCTAATGCAAATATTATAACATTCATGAGTAATAGGCTGTTGATGTAAAAAATGATCTAAAAATACAGTTGGAAAAATATTTTTTGAAGGTACATGATTATATTATAAATTTAATTATTGTTTTTCTATTGTTAATAAGTTCAACATGTCACAGCGAAGGGGAGAAGATCCTACTGGATATTGAATGTGTACTGATGAGGTTGTCCATTACACTATTACCAATTACCTTATTGATGATTATTTCATTATAGCATAGAAAAGCCATATTTAACTATTGTCTATAAAACAAGGAAGCTTTTTATGTATGATTTTGTTCAGTTCATCTTAATATTTTTTCAAAAACAGCCTTTTTATGGAGAGGAAGCTACTTATGTTGTAAGGGTTTCTGTATACTGTCGTGTCTCTGTGTAATTCCTGGGAAATTTTGCTTCATAGTAAAGTGGCCATTCTTAAAGATGATACTCAAATGATTCGAGATAAAACTACCTAAATTTTGATTATCATGGATTTGTTTTATCATCACCCATGTTGTAGGCTCATCTATTTCAAGTGGATAAAATCCTGATCATAAAATACAATTGTCGAGTATAAACATAAAAAGAATATAAATACCATACATTTCATTTACTCTTCCTAATCTCACATTGGTACCTTCCTTTTCCTTGCCCAGGAAAACTGAGATTATCATAGCCAATTTTTTCCTTTTGGAAAAAGTTGAAGAGAACCAAGGAAAAGAAGAATATATAATATATGGTTAGAATAAGCCATAGCCTGTGTGAGAGCATGTAGTATGGTACCTGGCACAGAAGGCAGTCAGTAAATGTTGAGGTTTTATTTATATCCTAAATGAAAATTATGTATAAAACCCTTTTGGTTAGTTAATTACTGGTTAGCGTCTCAGTAGTTCTGTCAGATAGATTGATTAGATGTATTAATGTTGCCTTTGTCGTGTTTTTTCAGGCTTGGAGATTTTGATGTTCCTTAAAAAAAAATTTTGGTTTTCGTTTAGGTGCCCTTTGAAAGCAGAAAACCAGTGTTAAAATATAAGATGTTAGAAAGATTCTAGTTTTGAACATAGGAAACTCTGTTTAACAACACATACCCCAACTACAGCATGATGAAGGTCACATTTTATAATAAAATATGTGCTGTATAATACTCTTAGTATTAAAAGATAGCCTACTATGTGGTTTTTACCTGGCTCCTTAATAGGGGTGTGCTATGGTTAAATTTCATATCATTTTTTAAAAAAATACTTTCTTTTGACTGGAGTTAGCAATACTAACGTAGAACACTCTGTGGACAGAACTGTTTTTTGGGTTCTGACCAGAGTTAATTTCACAGAATTAATTCAATTATAGATATATAGTTGAATCAGTCAATGTTATTTGGGTAGTTTCTTTATAAAGGAGCTACACGACAACTTGTTTTCAAAAACTTTATTACAAGGGGACAATATCATATAACATAGGCCAGCTATACTCCGGAGCCTGTATATCCTCTAACATAGTATGCAAAATTTTGTGTTTGCACATTCACCTTCTTCTGTGGGGAAGACTTTTGCTTTCAACTCATTCTCCAAAGGGTACTTGACTCAAATTTAAGAACCACCAAATGGGGCTGTAGGGTCCCTGGATAGTCTTTAAGAATTCCATTCTTGAGATAGGGCTACTGTATCTTTTTCCTGAGCTGGCACCACCTTCTTCAACCCATTATATACTAAGGAGACCGCAGCAAACATTTATTGAGCACTAGCCCTGTGGTAAAAGGCAAGTCAGGCAAGATCTCTGTCCTCAGGAAGCTTAATCAGTCACATTATTCCTTGCTTGGACTGACTGTTAAATGACACCTTATTCTCAGACTGTTTATTAATCACGTTTGTGTAGTACTCATTTTTACCTAAATTTTAAAATATTCATAAGACACAATGTAATGAACATAATTACTTCAAACTAACTTCATGATACCATTTATCAGAGTTATAGTTTATATAGTAAGAGTACTCCTTTGTATTAGTCTTACATTCTAAGTAGGTAATTAGATGAGTACCTTTCTGAGTTACTTTGCTGTAGTTACAAAATAGTCGTAGTGTCAAGAGTATCTGAGTTCTTAGCATGTCATAGAAGGCCTTGTGTGATAGAGCTATATTAGCTCTCCTGTTTTATTACTCTCTAGCGCTCCCATTTTATTTTATGCTTCAGCCATGCCTCCAAGCCTTTACCTGCAGTGTAACTTCCCTCTCACCTCCCTACCTGTTCCTTTTTGCTTCTTTGCCTGTCTATCTCCTGTTTACCTGAGACTTCATCTCCTTTCTTGGCTCTCTTGGCCTGGATTAGGTGTTTCTACAACATAGTGTGTTTACTTCTAAGTGTTTACTTTTTTTCTACTCTTCGCTGGACTCAGGGCACATGCTAATCTTATTTTCTGTAGTATCCTTGCTGCCCAACCCAGTGATTCATAGCAGATGCTCACTGAAAACTTAGCTAAACATAATCTAGCTCAATAATCGTCTCTTCTGTTTTTATGATTGAGGCGCACTTCCCTTTTTCTGTCTGAGGTTTTCAGTTGAGTTGATGGCAGTAATAGGAATGTTTATGTGTGAAAAATGGATCTCTATTGTGCCTCTCCAATATTCCTTTCAGATGGTAGCAAAACCATTTAATAGCAATGGTAAAATTACATAGAGGGGCTGGTTCTTTATCCCTCTACAGATTGTCACATATTAGAAATTGTGTTATTGTATGTATATACCTCCTCCATTGTGCTTGGATTGTATCTATTCTCAAAAGCTGTTTCCCTTAATAAAACGTCAAGATTGTATCCTTTTTTAGGAATATGTTCAAATCCTTTTAATCATGTTAAACTACCAGTTGAGGTGTTAGGTTGTGAACTTGTGGAACCATTATAATATTCAACCTGAACAATCAGCTTATATCTGAAAGTGACCTGAGAATGACCATTTGGATTTTGAAATAAATCGTACACCCAACAGATACCTACTGATACTTAGCACAGATGCCATCTGGTGTTTGCTCTGGGTACTTCATACATTCTTACACATTTTGTGATCTCTTAATTCTCACTTCACGTTCTTCTTATCGATTGATACAGTTGGTTAATTGGAGGTTAATTGAAAGTCTCAGTAACAGTTTTGAAATTAGTTACATTTAAAGCAAATCTCAATATGATGTATGAAAAATTGACTTCTTAAATAATAGTCATTAATTTATTACTCATGACTAAGAGAGCCTGTTGACTATTAACATTTGTATACTAACTTGAATTTTCTTAGTTTTGAAGCAAAATGGTAAATTTCAGTCAACACTTAATAATTTAGAGTTTTAAAGATGATTTTGACTTGATTCTTTTAAGTTCTATGTCCTATCATTTGGGGCTTGTTTTGCCATGCGTTTTTAGTTCTTTTTAGAGGATTATGAAGAATAGGAGATAAACATAAATGAAATCTGTTTTTCTACTTTGTTGAAACACTGGATTAAGTTTCAGGATTAAGAAATTTTTAATTTAAGAATTAAGGATTAAAAACTTGAAGATGAATCTGATTAAGTTTTTCTAAAATTTAAGTTTTTTTGAGTTCTTTGTTGGTGGTTAAGATGAATACTATTTCTGTCTTGCACTCTTTTCTAGGATAATTAAGGTTAATGTATAACTAATGAATTTTTGAAACGGGTCAAATATGGCTTTAATGAGTCTTTGGTTTGGAGTTAGCAGAATGCAGGTAGACAAACAGAATTGTGTTTTTAAAATGAAAGTGACTCCAGAGCATATTATTAAATCTGAACCCTGAACTAAATTATAGTTAGTACATCTTCAGTTTGAATTTGGGCTTGTCTGTGACAAATGACACGCCTATTCATTTAATTAAGGAGCCCTGGTGACATAGTGGAGCCCTGGTGGCAGAGTGTTTAAGAGCTTGGCTGCTAACCAAAAGGTTGGCGGTTCCATCCACTCGCTGCTCCTTGGAAACCGTATGGGGCAGTTCTGCTCTGTCCCATAGGGTCGCTATAAGTTGGAATCAACTTGATGGCAACAGGTTTGATTTTTTTTTTTGTTGGTTTGGTGGTGCAAATAGTTAAGTGCTCAGCTGCCAGTCGAAAGGTTGGTGTTTTTCAAACACACCCAGCAGCTCTGTGGGAGAACACCCTGGCAGTCTGCTTTCATAAGGATTAAAAACCAAAACCAAACCCACTGTTGTCAAGTTAATTCCAACTCAGCAACCTTAGAGGACAGAGCAGAACTGCTCCATAGGGTTTCCAAGGCTGTAATCTTTACAGAAGTAGACTGCCATGTCTTTCTCCCGCGGAGTGGAGCAGCTAATGGGTTTGAACCACCGATCTTTTGGTTAGCAGCCAAGTGCTTAACCACTGCGCCACTAGGGCTGTTTTATCATAAAGATTTCAGCCTAGAAAACCTATGGGCAGTTCTGCTCTGTCACATAGGGTCCCTGTGAGTCAAAATTAACTCGACGGCACCTAATAAGAACATTAATTTTAATTTTCAAACTATGTAATATAAATGCAACATATAGCATTATTCTACTTACGATAAATGATAAACTCTCTCTGTCTTTTTATAGGATGTTGATGCTACAAACCCAAATTATGAAATTATGTGCATGATCAGAGACTTTAGAGGAAGTTTGGATTACAGACCATTAACAACAGCAGATCCTGTAAGAGTCTTTGTTTGTAAACCATTGCTCTAGAATTTATATACTGCAAATAAAAGCCTTTATTTTAGGTATATATAAGTTTGACACCCTCTAAACTTATACTGTATTTAGTTGTGTATTTTTTTCCTCTCCTTACGGCTGCTTGTTCCCCACATTTTAAGAAGAAAATCAAGAAATCATCTACATTTATGCTTATCTCCCATCGTTTGATATGTCAGACATGCTCTCCACAGAGATGTCCTTTTCAAAGCAAAGCCTCCCTGTCTTTGGAAGGGCAGAGCCACAGTTAAAGAGTGGTTGTTGTCAGAAGACCTGGTTTCCTTTCTGATCGTCACTTACACCTTGATTTCAGTTCCAAGCTTATTTTCTCTTTGTTTTGGGCTGTAGATCCCACTATCATTCCAGTGAACCTCTCTATTAATTGATTTGTTATTTTAAAATAAATGAAAAAAATGTTATCCTTACTTTTAAAATGATAGTTGTTGAGGGCTGACAAAATGTTCCACTATCTCATTACTCCTCTTTGTTGAAGAATGGAGAATTTATTGGACAGGGAATACTTTTGTGAATAATTGGTACTTTTGAAAAATAACCCATCTGACCTAGCATATACAGAAGGTGTTGGTTACATAGGAGCCCTGGTGGCACAGTGGTTAAACTGATCGTCTGCTAACCAGAAGATCGGCTGTTTGAAACCACCAGCAGCTCCGCGGAGAAGGATGTGGCAGTCTGCTTCCGTAGAGATTTACAACCTTGGAAACCCTAGGGGGTCGCTATGAGTCAGAATCGACTCGACAGTAGTGGGTTTGGGTTTTGGTTTATTGGCTACACAAGGAGCTCTGGTGACAGAAATGCTGAAGTGCTTGGCTGCTAACTGATAGCTTGGCGATTTGAACCAACCCAGAAGCTCTACAGGAGAAACCTGGCAATCTGGTCCCATAAAGATTACAGCCAAGAAAACCCTATGGGGCAGTTCTGTTATGTCACATGGGGTCGCTATGAGTCAAAATCGACTCGACGGCACCTAACAACAACAACTTTGGTTACGCAAAATAACATTTGTGTGAGACAGATATATGGGATTTAAGAGAGTTATTTGTAACACTTGTATTCCATATATTTTGGGCCTTGCTACCCCTCCATGTGTTTAACCTACTGCATGTGAACTGATGGTTTAGGACAGGGATTGGCAAATTCTGAAAGGGCCTAATAGTAAATATATTTGGTCTCGTGGGTTATATAATCTCTGTTCCAGCTAATCAACTCTGCCGTTGTAGTGCAAAATCAGCAATACAATACATAAATGAAAGGGCGTGGATGTGTTCCAGTAAGACTTTACAAAAGCAGGTAGTAGGCTAGATTGGGCCTATAGTGTATAGTTTCCCCTGCTTTATGATATTTATTCTTATTAAAAGGAGACAAGTACTGAGAACATACATCTTATGAAGAATACTTATGTGTAGGAATTGGCATATTTATAAAATTGTACAAGTTATTTTGCTCAGCAGTCTTTTGGGAATTATGTTTCTTGGCCTATGGTTATCTTTGCCAACAACTTTCCCTACCATTGAACCTGAAAATATACTACTTGTAGAAATTTTTACTTTTGTTGTATACAGTACAACCAAGTGCTGTATACAAGTTGTATACACTAATTATTCATTGAAATGAATAAGATAGCTTCTTAAACATGAACCTAATGCTACTAAGAACAACAGTAGTACCAGACCCTCTATAAAGTTATTTTCTAAGGTGATGGCTTACCAAATAACAAAATAAGCAAGTGTCTGTTGCGCTCAGATTTTTGGAAATAATTATGTGTGATAACCATTATAATTTGTGTGAGCTAATTTGTTTTTTAAGTTTGCTTATCATATTTATGCTACACATAAATTTCTAAAACCTCTGGAGGAAATATTACATAATTGACTTCGATGTTTTACTTAACCACTGATAATCACTAAAATATTTTTCATAGATTGATGAACACAGAATATGTGTTTGTGTAAGGAAACGACCACTCAATAAAAAAGGTATGATGCTTAATGAGCTCTAATGAAAGATTAGTTTTATCTTATTTGTAATGTATTTTGATAATTCCATAAATTACGTTGGTTTGAAAGAGTTAAATATGAATCATTTTCTTTCATTTGTACATGTCCATTAAGTAGATTTCTGTGGCTACATTTATTGATTTGTTATTACTTTGAGTCATTGCCGCTCTTGGTTCTAGCTTCACAGAAATCTTGATTCCCTCCCCCCCAACTTTGTTATTGAAACGTTTTGTCTTACTGAATGGCATATCTATGGCATATCTTTATGTTTAAAAACTGATTACTTTTATCTAAATTCGTACTACTTAAATTATTTTTGTACATTAATTCAAATGCTGTGGAAATTACTGGACATTGATTTTCATTTATTCTTTTAGAAACGCAAATGAAAGATCTTGATGTAATCACAATCCCTAGTAAAGATGTTGTGATGGTACATGAACCAAAACAAAAAGTAGATTTAACAAGGTACCTGGAAAACCAAACATTTCGTTTTGATTATGCCTTTGATGACTCAGCGCCTAATGAAATGGTTTACAGGTAGGTAAATTCCTTTTGAATCAGAACTTCATTCTTATGCCTTGCATTTATCACTACCATAAAATTTACATTGATCTCAGCATATCTCTCCAGAGGTATAATACTCTTTTTCATTGAGTTTAAACAAGAAAATATAATAAATGCTATAATGAATATTAAGACTTGTTCTTTTTAGTGCTCCCAAAATGTATAGTTTTCATTACTAATTAATTTATTATACATATTATACACATATGCATACATGCCATATTTATGAATAAGAAATTTCCGTATCTTGAAAATGTTAACATTTCTGTTAAACTTAGGGAATGAGGTATGATGAGAAGGACTTTTATTTTTCACTCTTTATTCTTTGTACTGTTTAAGAAATTTGAAAATACTTGATAAAATATATCACTACATCAAGTAAAAAGTTCTGTAAATCTATTTGTATCTTCCTAATTTTTATCACTTGAAAGGTTTGGGGTAGTTTTAGTACATGAAATTCTTACATGTTCATATAGTCAATTAATAAACAGTTCAAACTTGCATATATTACACATTGATATCCCAAATTTTTATGCCAAATATAGATGTTCATGCATCAGTTATCAGACATTCATTTCTATTATTATAACAGTTAACTTTAACATCATTGCTATCTTAGTCTGTATAGAGATACCTTTGCGGTTACTTCAGTCCTCTGTTTTGTTGCCCTTTTATTATATAAAAATGACTGGACGTAAGAAAATTAAAGAATTGAAGGTGTTAAAAATGAAACTGTTGAGACCAACTTCACTGGTTTTAAGCTAGTAAACCGAGAGTTCAGTTGTAAGGAAAGAGAACAAAGTTAACTTATGAAATACTAGAAATTTTGTGAAGAATGTGTTTAAAAAGGGAATTATAATTTTAAATTGAATAATATTTCTTAGCTTTCTGAGAACAGTCTTCTCTTCTCCCTCACTCTCTCCTCTGCTTTCACTCCTGCCTCATAAAATACTTGTTTGACTTCTATAATCATTTTCAAGAAATAATTATAAAGATATATCTTGTCTACTTGCTAGATTTAGTAAACATTGTCTTGCCCTATATGTATGCCAGTATTAATCTTACCCCTTATCTCTTATCCTTAACTTTTTTGGATTGAGAAGTTACACATTTTTTTGTCTAATCACCCTGCAGATGCAGACTCATTTCTGATTCTGTTTAATCAGAACTTTCTTCTGCTCCTTTTTTTCTATATTCTTTAGTTTTGCCTTATCCTTAAAAAATCAGCAGAGCTATATAAAGTGTTCCAGTTAGACATTATGTTAAAGCCTGTATAAAAAATAGATTTGTCTTCTATCATACTTTTTAGTGCTCTGCTCAATGAGAAAGTATTTGTTGTCCCCCCCCCACCTTTTTTAACTGTATCAATGGATTATAGCAACATGGTTGAAAAATAATTCATGCAGCCATGGTATTTTGTGATCCTTCTTCTGAGTCAAGATTATCAGCTCAGAACTCAGTCTTATAAACGTAATTTATATTCTTTTCCTATAAATATAAATTACTTGTCCACATTGAAGCAAATCTTAATCATTTTTCTCTACTTAAACAGCAAAGAGATAACATTTTTGCAGGTTTTTTTTCCCCATTAGCTTTTCTCTATTCAAATTATCACTCTTGATTCTGTTTTGATTAAAATTGTAATGGATCCTTTTTTTTTTTTTTTGGATGAGGGGATATTGGTTTCATCATATATATCTTGTCTTGCTAATATTACTGTTTTTTATTATTCTATTTTAAAACTTTTCCTACTTTTCCTCTATATAAGTCTTAACTCAGTTAATACTAGTTTTTATTTTGTTCATTACCATTGTTAACCATTGTTTTGGAATTATTGCTTGAAATTATGATTTAAATATGCTTTAAACAATTCTGGGATATGGTTAATTAAGATTTTCCACAAATTATTGGCTTCAGTTGTGGCTTGTAAGACTTGGTATTAGTGTTGCTATTTGTTTAACTTAAATATTGCCAGCAAACTCTGACAGATGCATTTAATTTTAAGGTTTACAGCTAGACCACTGGTGGAAACTATATTCGAAAGAGGAATGGCTACATGCTTTGCTTATGGGCAAACTGGAAGTGGAAAAACCCATGTAAGTAATTCATTAAAGTTACTTCCTGGTATGAAGCTACAGTTTATTTTTCTTTTAACTTAATTCTAAGACCTCAATTCTTAAGATTTTTTCTTGAATAACAGCTATTATTCTTTCTTTATTTTCTTTTTAACATATAGACTATGGGTGGTGACTTTTCAGGAAAGAATCAGGATTGTTCCAAAGGGATTTATGCATTAGCAGGTAACTTGTTTTTACATATAGTTTGCAGTATTCTTACTGGATTTTATTCAGGTCTCTTTGAAATAGGACTTTTGGAAATATTGTCTGGGATTTTAAGGGCAAGTGTAATATACTTACTGTATGTCATATTAATTACAGGTTATCAGATTACTTGAAAAGAACTATGAGATAAAGCTTTTGGAGACAGAAATTGTGATTATATTTGTGACAGTGTAGTCTGTGGCACATCGAGTATTTATTGTTGAACAGTTGAATTGTGAAAAGTTTTGGTTTTGTATGGTTACAAGAGTAACCTTATTATGACCAGCTATAATTTTATGCTATTTAGAAGGATAGGTAGTAGCATGCTTTTTTTGAATATGAAAGAAGTAGCATCTAGACCTTAAATGTAAACAAAAACAAAAAAACTATTACTACTGTTGTTTTAGAATTAACATTAACTTTAGTCTTTATTTTTATTATTGATATTTTCATTCTAGACATTGATAAACTTATTCATCTAAAAAGAGGAAATGTGAATTGCTTTTAAAAGATAATATTTATTATATCTTAACAATTTTCTGTATATGAAATTCTTGATAGCTCGAGATGTCTTTTTAATGCTGAAGAAGCCAAACTATAAGAAATTAGAACTTCAAGTATATGCAACCTTTTTTGAAATTTATAGTGGAAAGGTAAGTTAAATTTTTTATGTGTACTGGAATATTATGTTAAAATTTGTTACGAGATTTTTTTAAATGTCCTTTAAAACTTTTCAGCTTTAATGTTGAGTGTTATTTCTACTCTGATAATGCTTTGAAATTTTCAGACTTTGACTCATTTCTTAGAACTGATTCTTCTTTTTGAAAAACTAGTGTTCTAATTTAAACATGGTTTTTTGTAGGTGTTTGACTTGCTAAACAGGAAGACGAAATTAAGAGTGCTAGAAGATGGAAAACAGCAGGTTCAAGTGGTGGGATTACAGGAACGGGAAGTCAAATGTGTTGAAGATGTACTGAAACTCATTGACATAGGCAACAGTTGCAGGTAAATTTTCTCATTTTAAGTAAGTAAGGGAAACTTAATTTCCTAATCAGTTTTACATATTTGATACAGCATAACAACAAAATGAAGGTGTTAGTCAGTGTACCTTGGAAGTAAAAATCTTTGTTCATAAAAACTTGTGTTATTACATGTAATGTTTGAGTAACATCTATTATATACAAATTTAAAGTATTGTTAACTCAAAATGTTTGTTTTGTATCTCGATGAGAACTTTTTTTTTTTTTTTTAATGAAAATACCACGATTTGAATATGTACATTGAAATTGTTATATATCAAAATTTCCTTAATCACATTGTAGAACATCCGGTCAGACGTCGGCAAATGCGCATTCATCTCGGAGCCATGCGGTGTTTCAGATTATTCTTAGAAGGAAAGGAAAACTACATGGCAAATTTTCTCTCATTGATTTGGCTGGAAATGAAAGAGGAGCTGATACTTCGAGTGCAGACAGGCAAACTAGGCTTGAAGGTGCTGAAATTAATAAAAGCCTTTTAGCGCTCAAGGTAAATAAAACATATTTTATTGTGAAAGATCTTTGTCTTTTACTGTAATATTGTTTACTCAGCCACAAAATGAGAATATTTGTTTTGTCCAGTATGTAAGAGAGGTTATCAAAATTTAGTTGTTTATATTTAGTTATAGATTTATATTGTACCCAGTATTTTTCTTTGCACACATTATTCATTCAGTTCAGATTACAGTAGATGAGGAATAAGTGGGTTGGCTACTGAGGGAGATTCCAAAGGTCCTTAATTAGTCATACTTTCTGATTAAGGAAGGCAAGGAACCACAGAACTGAGCTAAGAAATAATTTCTTAGAAAAAATGTGGAATAGCTTTCAAAAAGTTGGGCCAGGCTATTACATTTCTTTCTTGAGTAGAAAACCAAAGGTTGAAAGAACTACAGTAAAGTATTTCATGCTTTTTCTTTTGGTTTGCCGCTTTAAAAGCTTAAGATTTTAGTCATTGCCTGTCACTTCTAAATACTAAGCACAAGCATCTTTTGGAATAATGAGCTAGGTTTTTTGTTGTTGTTGTTTTGTTTTGCATTTTCTTAAATTAGGGTTTATGGGAACATCTTTAATATGCTGTAAAGCTGTTAGTAGAATTTTCAGAGCTGATCAGAGAGACCTTTAAAAATACGTTAATTAAGATTACTCTGTATAAAAAGTCTAATCTGTGAGACTTGCTTTCTTCATTTTCAGGAGTGCATCAGAGCCTTAGGTAGAAATAAACCTCACACTCCTTTCCGAGCAAGTAAACTCACTCAGGTGTTAAGAGATTCATTCATAGGTGAAAACTCCCGCACTTGCATGGTAAGTTATTTTTGGTTTTGTTTTGTTTTGTCGCAAGGAAATAACCATATACAGTATTTGTGGGAAACTTACAACATATATTGACAAACATTGAATCTTCCATTGTAAGATATACAGTGATACTTAAGATGAGTTCCCTGTCAGTGTGATAGAGAGGATTATATTACAGTTATAATGCCTTCAGCTAGTTCCAACATCTGGGTTTTCTCGAGGCTTGGTCACCATTGATTGCCTTTTTTCTTGAGTATGGCTCACACTTTCCTTTTTCTGTGTATGTCTAGAAATTTTGGACATTATTAATGATTACCTTACAGAGACACTGGATTCTGTTGTGTTCTTGTGAAGATTATTGATTTTTTTGTTTTGTTTTAAATGGCAGTTAACTTAGCTAAACTTATTTCAAACTCTTATTTTATTTCTTCTGCAGTAGTAAACAACTGAAATTAAAATCTCTGTTTAGTTTCTGTAGACTTAGCTATGTTGTTTGGAGTTCTGCGCATACCTAGTTTGGGGGTCTGCTGGAGATTTGGGCAGTTAATAGTTGATACGGAGAATTTGAGTTTCCCCATTTGCTGTTCTTTCCTTTCTGGACTTTTCCCTTCACCTTCAGCTGCTGTAGTTGGCTCCTCTCCCCTTTCTCCTCAACTCTGTCCTTTGGTTTCCTCACCAGTACTACTGCAAGTTTCTAATCAAGTTTTTGTTGTCAAGTTTGCCATCAGGTTAAAAAGCTGCCAAAAAAAAAAAAAAAAAAAGAGGAGGCGGGAGCCGTGCAATCTATACTTTTGCCTTTTTCTAGGTGTTGACCTCCTCCATTTTCTGCCAGAATTTGCTCATTTTCTGGTGCTTTCAGAGAGTTGTTTATATTTTAACCGAAGTTTATAATTATTACCTAATCATGACTAGGAGATAGCGAATTATCTTGAAGTTCGGTTATCATTAGTCTTTATTTTTAGATATCAGTGTTAAGATTAGACCTAAATGAACTATATGTCAGTGTTTTTGTTTTGATCATTTATAACATTTTCTTTACCTTTGTATTTTTTCCCATAGATTGCCACAATCTCTCCAGGAATGGCATCCTGTGAAAATACTCTTAATACGTTAAGATACGCAAATAGGTATGAGAGATGGTTCTCCATTTTGAAATTTTGAAGCAAATAGAATATGATTTAATATGTGATAAGGCAAATCTCACTGCATTGTTCTTTTAATTTTCCAAAAGGTTTTTTGTGTGTTACTCTTTAAGATGATATTTAGAATTATTTTGTCAAGTTCTGAAAATGTTTGGAATATATTATGTAATTTGGGGAAGAATTGGTATCTTCAGTAGGATTAGTCTTTCTATCCTAGAAAATGATATTATTTTCATTTCACAAAGTTATATTTCATAATATTGTATTACGTTTAAATCGTAAATTTTCCTATTGAGACTGAGTACATTTGTCACTTGAACTTAGAGATAAAATTTCTTTTTGTAATCCTTTTCTAGCATGGAGATTCTCTTAATTTTACTGAACACAAGTGTTTGTCCTATTTCTTTTAATCATTGTGGAAATTTTATTTTTAACCTTGTCCCAAAATGTGAAATACATATGTATACAGAATAGTACCCAAGACGTTAATGAACAACTTAGTGAATACTTACAAAGTGAAAACTCCAGTCACCAGATCAGGAAATAGAACATTGCCTGCCTCCAGAAGGTCTCCTGTATGTCCCTTCCTGAACATTTGTGTGTCCTTTTACACATCATGAATAACGTGCTCAAATCTATCATTTCCTGTCCTGAGGGTAACTACTAATCCTGACTTATATGAAATAATTTTTCTATTTTTAAAAATAATTTTACTACCTACAAATGCATCCCTGAGCAACATCATGTAGCTGCATTTGAACTTTACATAAATGGAATCACACCGTTTATTCTTCTGTGTTTTGCTTTTGTTTCAACTGTTTTTGTTTTTTTTTTAATTTTTTTAAATTGTACTTTAGATGAAGGTTTACAGAGCAAACTAGTTTCTCATTAAACAATTAATACATACTATTTTGTGACGTTGGTTGCCAACCCCATGACATGTCAACACTCTCCCCTTCTCAACCTTGGGTTCCCCGTTACCAGCTTTCCTGTCCCCTCCTGCCTTCTCGTCCTTGCCCCTGGGCTGGTGTACCCATTTAGTCTCCTTTTGTTTTGTGGGCCTGTCTAATCTTTGACTGAAGGGTGAACCTCAGGAGTGTCTTCACGACTGAGCTATAACGGTGTCTGGGGGCCATTCTCTCAAGATTTCTCCAGTCTCTGCCAGACCAGTAAGTCTGGTCTTTTGTTGTTGTTGTGAGTTTGAATTTTGTTCTACATTTTTCCTCAGCTCTATCTGGGAACCTCTGTTGTGATCCCTGTCAGAGCAGTCGGTGGTGGTAGCTGAGCACCATCTAGTTGTGCTGGACTCAGTCTGGTGGAGGCTGTGGTAGTCATAGTCCTGAAAATGTTTTTTTTAATAATAGTAAAAACTGTTGGAAAGTATAAACCTGTTGACATTTTGTAAAAATCCATTAGTTTTTTTAAAAATGTAATAGAATTTTAATTATTTTTTAAGTTTAATCCTTTTTAAACTTTGAATTATGATCTCATAGCTGCAAATCTTTATTGTATTACTTTTAATTGACTTTTGGATATGTTGTATTTTATCATTAATTTAAAATGCTTATATCTACACAAAACTTCCAAAATTGTCATGGAAGAGATAAGCAGTTTAGTATAGTACCATCTTGACATGTTGTAAACAAATAATTGTGTCTTACTTTTTTAAAAACAGTCAAGCAGAATTTGTGCCTCTTTAATATTAAATCTATCTTCCCTTATGTAGACCATAGCAGACGTAGAAAACTGGTCAAAATTTTCTTCTGTTTTAATAAAAATCCTGAATAACATACCCAAATGCATCAAATTTATTTAAAAATTAAGCTTTATTGATTATCTGATCGTGGAAATGGATAAACATTTATTTTGGATGTGCATTTTGAGGTAGTGGTGGTTTACACATTTTTTAGGAAATTGGTTATATCTCGAGTGTTTAAAATTGTTTGTTTTTTAATACTTAGCATAGTGATTGAAGAGTTTTAGTTACCAAGTCAAAATACATTTTAATACTTGCTTCACCCCTTAGTGGAAACAAGGTCTAAGGAAGATTCTTCAACTTCTCTGTGCTTCAGTTTCCTGACCTTTAAAATTGGAAGATTAAGAATCATGTCCATCTTAAAGGATTGTTTTAAGGATAAAAGATGATCTCTGTAAAATGTTTAGCACAGTACCTGGAATATATTAAGTATATTAGTAATTTTTCCTATTTTTAGTTTAGTGAGCAATTCTGTTTTAAAAATTTAGATGTGAAAACAGTATTCTTTTGAATTCTTAAAATCATATACTTTGGAAGTGGTTTGTGGTAGTTGAGGGATTATTTATAGTAATACACATTGATTTTAATAAAGTGACAAGTCCATTTGCAATCAGATGACAAAATTGAGATATTTTAGAGGCGAATAGTGAAGGAAACTTTCGGAGTGAAGGAGTGGTTTGTCTCTAGGCAAAAGCAAGTCCAATATGTATTAAAATCAAATAGTAGCCTCTATCCTGAATGAGAGGCTCCCCGATGGCATAGTGGTTAAGTACTCGGCTGCTAACCAAAAGGTCGGCAGTTCAAATCCACCAGCCACTCCTTGGAAACTGTGGGGCAGTTCTACTCTGTCCTTGTAGGGTCATTATGAGTTGGAATAGACTTAATGGCAATGGATAGGTTTTTATCCTGAATCAGAGGGTACAATTTTTGGGTAATGAAGGTTAGAATGATTGGATCTTGGGTAAAAGAATAATTAAGAGTTTTTTTTAAGGGGCATATTTGAGGACTCTGATTCTTGTATGGGAAACCCTGGTGGCGTAGTGGTTAAGTGCTACAGCTGCTAACCAAAGCGTCGGTAGTTCAGATCCACCAGGCGCTCCTTGGAAATTCTATGGGGCAGTTTTACTGTGTCCTATAGGGCCGAGTAATTCTTGTATATATTCTTGAGCAAGAGGGTTTTGAATAGAGGAAAAATACGTAAATAGGAACTAACAGAGTGTCTAAATTAGGAGATTCTGAAGCAGATAAGAAATGCGATTGGGAGTAAAAAGAGTTAAGTCATCATTGAGAAATTTAGATTTGGATGTTTCATAAAGAAGTTTTACAAAATGATTATAAAAAATGAATGGCAGATGAATCTAGTATTGAGCCTTTGACAGTAAATACTACCAATAGGTCAAAGAAAGATTATAAGTAGAAAAAATATATTAGTTTGAACTGTGTGAAAGTATTGATATTTGACTATTTTTGACTTACAAAAATAGGAATTTCTTATAGTTCAACCGGAGAGAAGTGATGAGAAAAACAATATGGTTAGTATATTGAAGTGGTTAAATAGCATGAGGTTTGTACTCATAGCTAGATTTGATTGTCAGGTCCTGCCATATTCTCATGGAATGAACTTAGTTAAGATAGACTATTTCTCCGAGCTAGTTTTCTCATCTATAAAATGGAGATTATAATATCACAAGGTTTTTGTAAGGATTAAATAATATAATGCCTAAAAATTGCTAGTCATAATACCTGACACATAGGAAGTACTAGATAAATGTTACCTACTGTTGTGAAATGGGGTTGGCCCAAAAAGCAACATGGGGAATCACAAAGATGGGGACAGAAAAGCCATAATTTGGCTAAGTAAAACAATTAGAGATGTTAGCAAAAGCAATTTAAATTTTATAGCTAAAGCCTTAGGCATCTTTCTTAATCAGAGTTCTTCATCTAAATCACCAAATGCAAAATTATTTAAGTAACTGACAGTTTTCTCAGTTCTCTTCAGGATGCTTTTCATAGTTGATACCATTCCAGATGTATAGGAGAGAAGTTAATTAATTACAAACAATGGATGCCTTTGAGACATTGGGACTTAATTCTCTTAGGTCCTGTTTGAGAGACGGCAAGAGTCTTGAGGACATACAATGCTAATAATATTATTCATGGTATTGAGTGCAGGAGGAAATTAGATTGAATGGTCATGTAATAAATATAAGGGACATTTCAAATTTAGGTGATGGCCAAGTTAAACTTCCAGGTAGGATTATGAGAAGAGGGGAAAATATGCCAGAAAGGAAGGGTTTAGGACTACAGAGCCAAGGGATCAATAATCTACATATCTTGAGTCACAATGGTATTGATTTCCTTTTCTAAACAAATTTAAATGAATACTAAATGAAAACTTTAAATGTATTGTACATTGCTGTTTTTACAAGAGCGTTTTCTTTTAATTTGTTGCTGTTCTGGTGCTGCAGAGTAAAGGAGTTTGGAATTAGTCCATCAGACATTCCCTTCTCACAGGGTAGTGGCAGTCGCCCTGATCTCTCTCCTTCTTATGAGTATGACGACTTTTCTCCTTCAATTACCAGGTCTACTTCATTGTATATATAAGATGTTTATTCTAATAATTTCTTTTGAATTGTACTATGTGTGAAACATTTCACTTCTTTTGTCCTGAGCCATTTTATTTTTCATTTTCATTTCATTTGGCAGGTGGTGGTGGTTCTGCATGATCTGCATTTTTATGTACTGTATTAATTTATTTGCTTTTAACTATTAATTTAGAGTTTAGGCTTCCTATTTCCCTTTATATTTTTTAAGGATGATGTCACTTTTGCATATTTATCACTAAAAATTAAAGAATTTTCTTTAAAATGAAGTTTACCTTTATTTTGCATGATCCTATAAATTTCCTTGTCTGCCAGGAAATAACGAGTATCTTCCTGACATGGAAAGCATACCCTTTCCCAAATGTGTAAATTTAAGTATAATAGGTAAACATTTGTTAAATAATAGAACTTAACATCGTTATTACGTTTATATATTAGAAATATAATTATTTTACATGTAGCTATTTTAATTGAGCATTATGACTACCAAAAATCTGCAAAGGGTATTAAATTCTCTGATTTCGGCAATGATCCATTTATTGATCTAAATTACATGGTTAACATTTTTTCTGTTCATATAATTTAATTGCAACGATTGTTTCTTATTTTTCTTAAAATACTGAATCTGCCTACCTGGCTAATTCTCATTTTTAATTATGCATAGTAATTATATTTAAACTAATTGTAAAGTTGCCTAAATAAATTCCAATTATAAATAACCAAACATTCCCTTAGTATGTCCACAGATTTCAGGTAAACTTGACCTGTAAAGCTGACATCATCAATCTTAATATGTTCATTGAATTGACTTCATATTGAATAGTCTGATATTTCTTGTTTTTCTGCGGGAGTCTTTATTAATTTCAGATGCCTTTTATATATTTATAGGGTGAAAGAATTAACTGTGGATCCAACTGCTGCTGGTGATGTTCGTCCAGTAATGCACCATCCACCAAACCAGATTGATGACTTAGAGACACAGTGGGGTGTGGGGAGTTCCCCTCAGAGAGATGATCTAAAACTTCTTTGTGAACAAAATGTGAGTGACATAGTTGTAACATCTAATCTTAGTTCATTTCATCAGTAGTGGAACTTAATAATTGAAAACTATCATTTAAATCAGATCAGCAAACTGACCTGTGGGCCAGCTATCTGTATTTTTATAAACAGTTTTATTGGAACACAGCCATACTCATTTATATATTGTCTGGCTGCTTTATCACTATAGCAGTAGGGACAGATCATATGGCCTACAAGCCAAAAATATTTACTATCTGGCCCTTTAAGAGTTTGCTAAGTCCTGATCCAAACTGTCTTCTTTTTTTTTTTGTTAAATATTGATACTGAAATTTGTGAATTTTTTAATTTTGGTGGAAAAGAACAAGTTAAAGAATTATACACATAGTATATCACATACAAAGCAAAACAAAAGAACCGTAGACATGCATATGTATTTAAAAGATTCATGAACTATATCAATTTATTTTAAGAAAGATCAAAACTCAAACATGGTAAAACACTAATATTTGTTAAATCTGGTTGCTTTTCTGTATTTTGAAATATTTAGTGATATTTATAATTTAAAAACTTGATCCCCCAATTACTCAAAAAATAATAAAACAATACATGCCAATTGTATAATGATAGAAGTGTATAAAGAAACAACAAAAAAGCACAACAAAACACGCTTTCATATAATTACTTTTAATATATTGGGGAAGAGAGGATCCTTTCTTTGTGTGTGATGTAAAAGTTAAATATGTAGTTTTTTAACTTTATTTTAAAATATGTACTCTATATAGTTTTACGGAGCCCTGGTGGCATAGTGGTTAAGAGCTCGGCTGCTAACCAAAAGTCGGCACTTTAAGTCCTCCAGCTGCTTCTTGGAAACCCTATGGGGCAGTTCTGCTCTGTCCTGTAGGGTCATTATGAGTCAGAATCGACTCGACAGCAACAGGTTTGATTTTTGTTTGTTTTTGTTTTTATATATTTTATATCATTTTTTCTCCATTAAGAATCCTGTTGTAAGAATTTTCCCATCATGATAAAAGGTGGCATTTATTAATTGCTTACTGCGTGACATATGTATTTGATAAGCATCTTACTTGTTATCTGATTTAATGCTCATAACTCTATGTGATAGATACTATCATTATCCCTACTTTATATCTGAAAAAACTGATACTCTAAGAGGTTAAATAACTTGGCAAAGATCCTACAAATTTGTAAGTGCTTAAGCTAGGATTAAAACTGGGTCTTTTTTATTCCACAGCCAAATCTTATGTGAACTAAACTACCTGCAATAAAATATTCTTTGTAAACATGATATTTAATGTCAGCATATCCCTAGGTTACCTCACAATTAGTTGTTAGCCAGTTTTTATACTCTGACCACCCAAACCCATTGCTGTTGAGTCAATTCCTACTTATAGCGACCCTATAGGACAGAGTAGAACTGCCCTGTAGGGTTTCCAAGGCTGTAAATTTTTATGGAAGCAGGCTGCCACATCTTTTACCCTGGGAGTGGCTGGTGGGTTCGAACTGCTGACCTTTTGGATAGTAGCCGAGCACTTTAACCACTTTACCACCAGGGCTCTTTTATACTTTCTAGCAGATATTAAATCCAAAATATCCTAGAGTTATAAATGAACATTGTACTTTTTGTTACCCTGTTCCAAATCACTGTCTGTTGTTGAAGCATTAGTTCTTAACCAGGGGTGATTTGGCCTCCTGAGGCAAAATGTCTGGAAACATTTTTCGTTGTCACAATGTGAGAATTACTACTGGCATCTACTGGATATAGGCCAGGGATACAACTAAACATCTTACAGTGCACATAACAGAACCATACATAAAGAATTATCTGGCCCAAAATGTCAGTAGTGTTGAAGTTGAGAAAACCTGGCTTCTTAGTTATCTAGTGCTGCTATAACAGATATACCACAAGTGGGTGGCTTTAACAAACACGTTTAGTTTCTCATTGTTTAGGAGGCTAGAAGTTTGAACTCAGGGTTCTGGCTCTAGGTGACAGCTTTCTCTGTTAGCTCTGGGGGAGGGTCCTTGTCTCTTTGCATCTTTTGTTCTTGGTGATGTGGTGTGGCATCGATCTTCCCCTAGTTGTGCTTCCTCGTTTAATCTGCTCTTTTTATATCTTAAAAGACATTGATTTAAGACACACCCTATACTAATACCGTCTCATTTACATAAAAAAGAAACACCATTCCCAAATGGGATCATAACCAAGGTATGGTGGTTAGGGTTTACAACACATATTTTGAGGGGACACAATTCAATCTATAGTACCTGGTTTAAAATGAGAATTCTAAACTTTGAACCATAGAAGTTAAAGAACTGAAAATGCGATCCTGGCCTGATTCCATCCCCCTGCCCCAAAAATTTTGAAGGTTACTGTATTCTTAGAATCTCTTAAAACAAACCCTGCATTGTATCTAGATATGGTGCTTTCCAAAGATGTGGAAAACCATAACAAGACAGGTACTCTCCATGGCACATCTTTCCATTTTATTCTTGCATCTGCAGGGCTACTTTATATGAAGAGGTTGGCTAGGTAACATAAACTAATCCAGAGGCTTTGAGTATAACATCATGAATTCTGCTTTAAGTGGATTTCCTTCAACTTTGCCACCCCCAGAGAACTATCTTAAGATGGTTCACCATTAACCTTTAGTTACGTATGGAGGCATGTGTACATATTGTCATTATTATACTAAGTCTTACTAGTAGGTTAAATAGTCTAGGATACATCCTAGAGATAAAACTAATATAGGTAGACAAATGAGAGCATAATGAAATGCATTTAGAATTCCAGAAGTAGAAGAAATTTGTATAGAAAAAAATATTATCAGTAGACCGCCTGGAAGTGATAGAAACTTGCATCATATCTGGAAGGAAAGGGAAGAAACAAGACATTCTTAGGATTGGGAGGTGAGCTGGGCAGATAAAATGAGTAAGAGTGTGTTGAGTGCTTGTGTTTATTAGAGAGAGAATATGAGAGAATGCCTACATGCCCTGATAAAAGGTAGCTTTTCCTGAAGAGAAGATAAAAAAGTTCTTTGATCAACTTGATAAACTTGGTAGCTTATTGGTAAAAGAGTTTAGAAGTTTACTTATAATGTTTAATTTAGCAACAATATGCATATATATATTTAGAATCATGTATTTGAAAAATAATTTTTTCCTACTCAAATGTTATTTAAGAATTTTACGTATACTTCTTCTGCATGGTTGTCTTTATCACTAGAGCCACATTTTGAGGAAATAAAATCAGTCGTTAGACATTGAGGTTAGGAAAGAAACTCAAAAAAGCTAGTCCAGCGATATTTTGGCTAAATGTAGGATCAAAATGTGGATATGTTGTATACATGTGTAGTTTTCTGTTGATGAAGTAAGATTGTGAATTGTCAACATATCCATAAAAACTGATAAGCAAATTGTATAGAGCAATTATGAAATTAAGATTTCACAAGACTTTATCAAATGTTTTATTAAAAATCATCAACTGTCTTCCTACCACCCATGAAATCACACAGTCATATATATTTTGGGCCAGTAAAAGCAGCACTTTTGAAGAACTATTTTAGAACAGAAAGTGGTGAAACTCCACCTGTAGTAGCTAGAGCTTGTGTTAATTGGTTTTTCCCACTTGCTATAAAGTATACCCGTTTTGTCATTTTTCTCCTCCTCCTCGTGGATTTTCTGATGGTTATATTATCTAAATTGTATTTGTTGAATTTATATAGATTCAGACAATATTCTTCCCATAAGATGTTAAAGAACCAAGTTTAGAATCTAAGATTATAATGTCAAATACATAATGTATTTTGACTGAGGTTAATATTTGAAACATTTGTCTAAAGATGTCATGCACATTAGGCCTGGTCTGGGTCTACCAGTTTTGAAAAATGTTTTAGTAAGAGGTAGTCCTTCAGAAAGGAGCCCTGGTGGTGCAATGGGTAAGTGCTCGGCTGCTATCTGAAAGGTGGGTGGTTTGAACCCACCCAGCAGCTCTGCAAAAGAAGGAGCTGGTGATCTGTTCCCCTAAGGATTACAGCCTAGAAAATCCTGTGGGTCAGGTCTGCTCTGTCATACCTAACAACAGCAGTCCTTCAGAACATTAATTTGAACGTCATAGTCATAGAAAACACTATCTTTTTCTCTCTCCTGGTGAAAAAAAATTTATATATAAAAATGCTAGTTAATTTTAAGGTTGAGAATAAAGTATAGCTAAAACAATGACAATCCCTTTTTCAAAAGTAAACAATACTGAGGGAATGTTGCAGTATAATTGTAGCTGGCAATAAATATATTTTTGAAAAGTTGCACTATTCCAAAAGAGATTACCTTTTTAGTGTAATTCTGCAGTAAAGCCAGGAGTTTATTGTTTCTTACTTAATACGCTTAAATTTTCATTATCTTATTGTTACATTAAATATTTTTGACCTATAGAAAGAAATTGTGGATTTGCCTTTCATGTATATTTTAGTAGTCTTTACCATTTAAACTTTCTCAAAGTCTAGCTGACATTTTTGCAAATGACATTGAAAAACTACCTTTATAACATTTAAAATGCAAACTTTATATTTTTTTAAACTATGTTTATTTTAAGGAAGAAGAGGTTTCTCCACAATTGTTTACTTTCCATGAAGCTGTCTCACAAATGGTGGAAATGGAAGAACAAGTTGTAGAAGATCACAGGGCAGTGTTCCAGGTAAAGTAAGACAGTACCTGTCGTCAAAATGTTTCTTTAAATAAATTAAGGTTTTCAGAATTCTTTGAATATCCTGCTATTCTAAAAAATACTTGTTTATGTGCATTGCGTTGTCAGTCAAGGTTTTCTTTAGCTAACCCTGCTCGCTGGGGGTTAATCTAGGGAGGCTGAGATCATCCCTCTGAAGTGTGTGGTGCATGATAAATCCCATTCCACATGCCAGCTACATCCTGTGGAAATCTCAGCTTCCTTTTCCTGGTCAGTTCAGATGTCAGCTGCTCCATGCAGCCCTTTCTGTCTCATCTTTATTAACCCTGGGCTAGGGCAGCGGGCAGTGCTGCTGCTGCTTCTTGTGTCTGATAATCTATTGGAACAGCTCACAAACTCCAGGGAAAGGAGCTATCTTTAATCTAGCAGAAAAAAGGATACAAACACATGGGGCAAGGTTTGGGAGGGATCTCAGCACAGAGCTTCCATGTCCTCCAGGGGGCACACTTACCCTCCCAACGTCAGATGCTTGCTGTCACCACCCAGTAAGCTCAGTTGAGCCTCTGTCTGCCAGGGGCTTTATTGGCCTCACCACGTAAGCCATGGTAGATTATATCGTGCCTCCTGAGGCTGAGTCAGCATTGGTCCCTCTTGGTCTGGTTATCCTCCTCTCATTGGCCTCAGGTGCAGTCACATTCTCAGGAACTGGGACCAAAGGCCGAATTGTTTATTCTAAGGGGGTTCCACACCTTGCATGTGTGAATATGTGTATAAGGCATATGACATGACACGTTTGGAATAAAATGCATGATGGCTACAAAAAACCTTTCTTTGCACGATGGTGAAAAGGTCAACTTAATTTACCATTCTTTCCCCCCTTTGTTTTCATCAGTTGTTCATTTTTAAAAAACTATTGAACTTCTGCCCACCACTAGTCCTTTCTTCATGTTAGGCCAGTTTATTTGACACCAGTAAGAAAAAAGACTCTTCTAAAGGGTATTAGCAGTTGAAGAAATGTCATTCTTTGCAAAAAAAGAAGACTGCTTCAGGAGATGGAGAATTATTGCTGTGACTGAGCTGTCAGTGACAGATTGAGTGAGGGGTGTTATGTCCCTGCATGTAGTAACTCCTTACTGTTTATCCCATTGTGTTTCATCTGTTAAAAGCACTTTTACTGTACAATCCTCCTTTATTCCCCCTTTTTTAAAAAGAAAATATCCTGGAGAGGGATATTTATGACTTCCTGTAGTACGGATCCTTTCTGAGAAAAAAAATAAACAATAACTCATTCTCCCTTACTGAACTGTATTCCTTCTCTGATGCTGAAGAAATCTTTATCTATAAACAAATATTAAGGTGCCTCAGCTCTAGATCATTCAGTTACCTGTACGAACCACTCAAATATATGAGAACACTGTTCCTTAATAGGATGTACATTCATTAAAACTGTCAGAGTTTTAGTCAAGTCCTTGTTATGAAAATCTGTTTAGAGGCCTAAGTGTTGAGATTAAGTCACAAAAAGACAAGTCTCATAGTTGTTGCTTGGCAGAACTGGGTGTTCTCTCAATTTAGTATTCTTTTAACAATTCCAGGTATTGTTACTCCATACTAGAATCTGTTATTTCTCAAAATAGGGTTTTTTTTAAAAAATAAAGCGCATAGCTGAAGGATAAGAAAAAAAATTGTGTGTGTATGTGTTCTAGTATATATATACGTAGACACCTATACGTAGGTTAACCACTTCTGCCTGATGATACATAGTTTTTGTTTTTTTTTTATATTTTATTGTACTTCAGGTGAAGGCTTACAGAACAAATAGTTTCTCATGAAACAGTAGTACACATGTTGTTTTATGACATTGGTTAACAACCCCACA